CCCCCCCCCCCAAGAGAGGCGTGTATTGGGCAGCTATGTGAGCACCCGGGTGTGACGAAACTAAATGTTTTTGGCGGCAGGAAGCTCGTTAGCCCATCAAAATAAAATCCATAAATTAGCTGCAGTATTGTATAAGCCACAGTGTTCAACATGTGTGAAAGAAGTAACGGCTTATAGACGGTAAATTACGGTAGTTTTTTGTAGCAGTCTCACTGAACTCTTCAGTGTTTGTAACTCGGTGAGTAGTATGCTGCGCGGCCACATGTTGCACAGCCAGATGTTCAAAGTCACCACAGTTATTCTTTTGTCTCCTGACGTTTCTGATTGAATCTACTGGACAGTTCTTTTGAAATGAGGATGAGCAGGTTTTAAATTATTTGACTTATCGTGTGTGGACATTCAGGACTGCAGCCTCTGGTGTTTTCCATCACATGGAGAGCTCCTTGCAGGTTTCAAACTGCAGTTCTAACATTGACAGAAACTTGACTGAGAACAGTTTGAGACGAGTACAGTTTGTATTAATCAGAGTATTTCAGTTCAGGTCTTTGTTCCTATCCTGTTGGACCACAAACATTTTAAAGTTGTCTTTTTGTCCTGATCTCTGAGCTAAGCTGAAAGTTACAGACATGTGGCTCAGGCTTCCAGCAGACACTGATGTCATCATGTCCTCCTCCCCCTCCAACTTCCTGTCGTATATCTGTGCAGGGCGCTCTCTCAGGCCCGACATCTCTGCTGTCTCTCCTCACTTTCACACTTTGAACCCAGACACACATTAGACTCTGTCATTCTTCTCTGACTCATTTGCCTGAGTTATCAGTCGGCGCTGAGTGTGGTTCTGATGTGGTTTTGGCGTGCGTGTGTTTGCTTGTCACGTTTGCATGTGACACTGAGAGCAGAGCGCCATATTTGGGCTGTTTTCTTGATGGAAGGGCAGCAAAGAGCCAAGCTGCAGATAAGGCTGCAGATGCTGGATAATTAAACCTTTAAATGACTCAGGAGGCTAAACATACCACCAGACGTGACCCGGAGGCTCTGACTCCCTCACTGACTTTAACACTTTTATTCTGGTTTTCTTCTAAAGTGTCCATTTAAACGAAAATTAGTTTTTTGCTGTGAATACAGATGTTTTACAGAAGGCCACAGCTGCGCTGCTGCACCTGTGAACATCTGTTCAAACATAAAGACCTAACGTTCTGCGAACAACTGAATTATTGACAGTTATTGGTCAAACCCAGAATGTTTTCCAGCTCATGCTCAGAGTATGTTATAAATGACTCTCAGCTACTACCACCTCAAATTGAGCTCAATGTCTATAAAGTTGACTGACTTGCAGCCATTTCTATGTGTTCTAAAGTTCAATAGCTTTGGAGACCATATGGAATTGGCTTGACTCCAGTTGTTGATCTCCACCCATTGATTATGTCCTAAAAGTTTCATTAACATCTGTCCAGTTCTTTGAGATATTTTGCTAACAGTTGACTAATAGTTAATGGCAACCTTTAATATTTGGAGTTTGAATTGAAGAACAATCTCGGAAGCTAACGCACCAAATTTAATATCAGCTAAATTAACCCAATTCTGGTCTTTTTGGTGCTTCCTTTACTCATTAGTTTGTGGCGGCCATCTTGAACTGGTTGCCTCCAAACCAGGAGTGGCCAGTTCTGGTCCTCAAGGGCCACATTCCTGCGTGCTTAATTGGTTTCCCTCCTCTGACGCTCCTGGTTCAGTGACTGAAGCACCTCTTCATGTTCTGCAGTAGCCTGTATTAAT